TTTTCTTTGAATCAAATTTCCCATATTTTTGTTTTTAATTTGTATACTCCCGTAGACGATTAGTGCCCTCTAGTAGAAGGGCTTTCATACAACGCACTCACTCACGTTTATACACAATCAACTTTTACAATGTAAACAACACTGCATTATAATATTAACTTTTAAAAGTTATCAAAAAACCCATCAACATCCAGCTCTAGGTTTCACATGGCTGTTTTCATGATTCATACACTTGATATCTAATGTCACTGGACGCGAAAGGACCTGCTAGTTTTTAAGGAGATGATATCTGACCCATTTATAATAACTGTAGCAGTAAAGTGTAACTGTACTAGACCCTGAGTGCTACTGAAAACCCAAACCACAGATGTCGGCTTCCATACTATACCATGAAATCTGTGGGAACCACATCCCTCACCCCATACCTGTAACAATGATGACATAATTCACTAGGCATTCTTTTGTGAGGTCTGTACGAAAACAGGATATGAGAACTATTGATGGGGATAAGTATAAAGCAGGTCTATCGTGTCATTGCATGCAAGGTAACATACAATCTGGAAAAGAACTGATTTGCTATTTAAATGGCTTAAGTTATATGTAAAATACGTCTCCCTAACGTTATACTGTTACCATTGTAAGAAGGAAATAAAAATACAATCTTGTATAATAATCCACAGACGAACGTCAATACGTTTTGCTTTCTCAATGAAAATCTTTCAACTTAATGATTTATAAACCGCTTGTTTGAGCGATTCTACATTAATTGATTCACATTTTATTATCAAAATTTGTTGCGTTGAGTGGTCGTACATCTCCGTTCTGCTCGTGACGTCATATCAAACACAATCATCTGTCATAACTATACAAATATACCTCGTTAGGATATATATGATCTTACATGAGTTTCACATGAGATTTATGAAACGAGTCTAAGAATGTTTCAATTAAAAGGCGAGTTTCATAAATTTCATATGAAATGAAAACGAGTGTAAAATCCTTTTTATCAAGATTTGTGGCACACATTTGCGTAGGAACACATTAGATATAGATGTTTGTTCTTTTTACCTAAGTACCACTCATGGATTTAAAATTGACAGAATGACTATTTCGTGCAGTTACAGCATTATCCTGTTTGGCTTTCTTCCTGTACCAGTTCAAGTTCAAATATTTTATTTCCGTGTCAAACACATAGTATTCATAAAATCACAATACATATATACCTTTGAATATAAAATGTGTCTAGCCAAAATGACTTATGAGACACGTTATAAGAACAATCACACTATGTACTATCTTCAGACATGTAATGTTATTAACCAGTCTTTGTAAAACAATTTTGCTTGATTACCTATTAACTTTTAAATAGATGCTTCTTCACTTTCTATTCCAAGTAATTATTCTACCCATGAACAGTGTAGCACATGTCAATTAACACAACTGACCAATGTAACAACCATAAGTGATTACTCAGGTAACGACCCAGATATACCGCGTGTGAGTACTGTAGTGATATGTACCATCGTGAAATGGCCAACCCTTACAACACACAAAGAATAAAAACTACATCAACATAACACAATAGATATTTCCCGAGAGCAAATTCGAAAACAGTATAAAAAATATCCCACTAAACGTTCGGTAGAGACGCCTAAAATGAGACCCAACAGAATTGCATTTTTCCATGGTGAGCACACGGAATCTTCGGCCCAACTTGCATCATCTGGGACTTCGATCTTGTGCTTTTGCTTCATGATTTGCTCTTGTGTTTGAGGTGTCGCCATGGACACCTTTTTTATCACTGTCAGACTCATATGACTTGTCATATAATCGTGTCCAATGCACATTTCACAATGTAAACACGTAAAATAATATCACAAATTGTGGACGCCGAAGTCATATGGCTGTTGCAAACAAACGACTCCAAATATGAGAATATAAAGACAAATGACAAGAATACCAAGCGACGCATTATCAGTGTATGTAAAACCACGTGGAAAGAGGATAAACCATTAATTTCAAGTGTCACGTTATTTGAAATACACAGGTGTGTAGCCTTATGACGTTTAACAGTAAATCCTTATAACTTCCTACACATTGTAGCTCTGATGTGTATAACCTAGCGTCTGTCTGCGGGGTTCATGTCTATCCCACATGTCTCTTGGATACTGTTGTTTCTTAGACTACCATTTAAAGCCTCTGTCTCCTGGGCTATTGCTTATCTCACCTGTCTCATGAACTTATTTTCTGACATTCATTCAAATCCTGGTCCACGATGTTCATACGTCATTTCATTACCCTCGCGGAGTCCTACCAGGTAAAACACCATTTCATTACCCTCGCGGAGTCCTACCAGGTAAAACACCATTTCATTACCCTCGTCTATAGTGTCCATTACAAGTTTTATTCAAACTTTGGGCCATCAGTATACAAAACATATTTTACACAAATCATGGACAATGTACAGAGGATGAAAACAATCATATTCCATTATAATACCCTTAATTTGTTTGCCTCATATATGAATTTTCCTAGTATACACAATTCTTTAATATTATGGACACTCAATAACTGGACGACTTTAAACACAGATGGTTTTTTCCAATAATAGCTTTTGATAAAACGAGATCTGAGATTTTGGAATTTAGAACAGACCAATAAAAAATGAAATTCGTCCTCTAATTCAGAGGGGGAGTTACACTGTTTACAATATCTACGTTCTCTAGGTATATTATTATACCTTCCAACTTCTATAGCTAAAGAATGGGTAGATGTACGTATTCGAGTTAAACAAATGCGATATTTCTTTGGTATATATTTTGTGAGGTAAAATTGTAATGTTTCTCCAAAATCTATTATATGTTTATACAATAAACATTTTGGAGAGTTTTCCACTGTGGCCCTTAGGAACGGTATGCCTTGATCAAAAATTCTTTGTTTTATCAATGGTAATAACAAATTTTGCTGAGAGATACATGGATTTATTTAATTCATCTCTTACTGCTATAGCCCAGTTGAAATCATTTCTACTACAACACTGCAATAAAAACCTAGAGGAAGTTGATATAGTACAATTTTCAGATTTTAATATCTTAAACCAATATTTTATCATTCTATTTTTTCTCATCCAAACTAGAGGTAACCGTCCTAATTCAAGATATACCATGTTGTTATTGGCCGATTTCTTCACTTTTAGTAGTGTCTTACAAAAATGTAAATGTACATGTTCTATCTCTGGAGCTTTGTGCATACACAAAATTTCACTTGCATAGAAAAGGATACTGCTTACATATGTATCGAAAAGGTGGAGCATATTAAGGTTAATGATGAACACTTTGAAAATAATGCAAACATAGCTTTTCGTCCTTGGCTAGCTAATTGTTTTTATATAGATGTGAATTTATTGTTGTAATTTAAAATAACACCTAGGTAAGGAAATTGATCCACACATTCAACCTTACTTCCTTTGTAATACCATTTTTCATCATTATGCAATCTTACACCTTTTCTAAAAACTACATTTTTTGTTTTTTCAGCATTTACAGTTAAATTCCTTTCAGTACAATAATTTTCTAAATTATCAAGCATAATTATCTTGGAGACCTTCTACAGTCTCGGAGAATTACACTAGATCATCAGCATATAGCATCAGATATAAACTGAGTTCCTCAAACTCATAACTACCCTTGCAAATACACAGCTGTCATTATCATATATTGTAACCTATATACCTGTCATTATCATCTATTGTCTACTACATTCCTATCATTATCATCTATTGTCTACTACATACCTGTCATTATCATCTATTGTCTACTACATACCTGTCATTATCATCTATTGTCACCTACATACCTGTCATTATCATCTATTGTCTACTACATACCTGTCATTATCATCTATTGTCTACAACACACCTGTCATTATCATCTATTGTCTACAACACACCTGTCAATATCATCTATTGTCACCTACATACCTGTCATTATCATATATTGTCTACTGCATACCTGTCATCATCATCTATTGTCTACTACATTCCTGTCATTATCATCTATTGTCTACTACATACCTGTCATTATCATATATTGTAACCTATATACTTGTCATTATCATCTATCGTCTACAACACACCTGTCATTATCATCTATTGTCTACAACACACCTGTCAATATCATCTATTGTCGATTACACACCTGTGATTATCATCTATTGTCTACTACATACCTGTCATTATCATATATTTTCTACAACATACCTGTCATTATCACCTTTTGTCTACTACATACCTGTCATTATCACCTATTGTCTACTAAATACCTGTCATTATCATATATTGTCTACTAATTACCTGTCATCATCACCTATTGTCTACTACGTACCTGTCATTATCATCTATTGTCACCTACATACCTGTAATTATCATCTATTGTCTTCTACATACCTGTAATTATCATATATTGTCTACTACATACCTGTAATTATCATATATTGTCTACTACATACCTGTAATTATCATCTATTGTCTACTACATACCTGTAATTATCATCTATTGTCTACTAAATACCTGTCACTATCATCTATTGTCTACTACATACCTGTCATAACATCTATTGTCGACTACACACCTGTGATTATCATCTATTGTCTACTACGTACCTGTCATTATCATCTATTGTCTAATACATACATGTCATGATCACCTATTGTCTACTACATACCTGTCATTACCATATATTGTCTCCTAGTCGCCTTACACTTAATGTAAACCCCAACTAGTTAATTATGGGCATGATGTATATTTTCTGTATGCACTAATCTATCAAAAGGAATATTTAACGTCATACTTAATATAATGATTGATTTCAATGAACGATTACATCGGAAAGCTTTGATTGTTTGTTGTCACTTTACCAACGCGGTCTATTTATATTGGATAATTGAGGTTAGTTCATGCCTATGATTTGTGGTGAATGGGTGGGGTGGGCTGAAGACTTACCCAGAGTTATCCCCGGTATGTAACTGCTGAGGATGTTTGTAATCCATTCGATCGCAATAGCAGTCTGGAATCCTTTAGTAGATATGCTTCCGCAATATTTTCCCGCGGAAGTCTCGTGCAAATTTGCGATAACCGCAAAGTTGAGCGTGCCATTGGCGGAGATAGTTCTATCCCTACAGTGGTCGCCCATAGATAGACACTGATCTTTGGCGAAGCACGCGACGAGACCCGTCCAAATGTAAACACACCCATACAACCAGTACATGGTTAGGGGAGGTTCCAGGTAGCCTTATCCTACTGCTGAAGATAGGGAACACAGTGTCCAGTGGTGGTCATCTCACACTTAATTGGGACTTATGTGTTGAGTTTGCGTCACTTTCCTCTGATCTGGTTTAAACGTAAACTAGTGAGACATCACGTGGCTACAGGTGTATCATTTGTCAGGTAACACAGCATGACGAAGGTGAAACCTTATTGGCACGACTTTGTTCATAGCATGTCTACTTCTTTGTCATAATCGTCCAAACATACGTCCGCCCGTCCGAGTGTGTAACGTCTCCTGTAGTGCTGGACAGTCTGATCCCAGGAGTATAACTGGCAATACTTCCTAACACTGGCATTTCCAATATTGTTCACATTAATACACTTTTACACAGGTATGTCAAGGTCGACTGCCTACGTACTGTCATTACAAACCTAAGCTCAGGTAAACCTTAACGAGAACTAGGTGTGTATACGTGCGTTCACTGGAGCGAGAACAGTTATCCCAGCATGATGACCTGCAGTGGACACTGATCTATATAAGTTATAACTGTACATACTCTATTAGTTAGAGTGACACACGGTCAGTTAAGTAATAGAGTACGAATGCTTCCAAACACTATTACGATATTACATATGTGTGTATCAATGGTGATCATAGACTCTGCACACTGGGTGGTGGAGATCCGACATGATTGATCGGCAGTATTTAGGTCTGATGTAAAACAACGACGGATCGATCTAGTTTTATTGACGTTCAGCTCGGATTCTACAGTTTTATATATATATATGACAATGTGGTTAAACGAATTTTCCGTACAACTTGTTGATCATCATCCTGTTCACCTGTAACAGTGCCCCTGTAACTGTATACTTGTTTTGAAACTTTTATTTACAGAGATGCCATGCTTGGTGTTTTGTCGTTTTTATTTTTTTGCATTTGTTGTAGTCTGTTTACTTAACATTTATTATGTTCATGTTTCATCGACGATACCCGCCACGTAAATCTAGGTCAAAATCATGTCACGTCCTGACGTCGATAATTCGGGTAGTGACACCAAACCATTAGGTACACTATAACTATATATACATATAAACCGCATCGACCTTCATATACATATGTGCGGTAACTACGTTCCAATGCAAAGAGGGAATGTTATTCCGTCTCCACCACCGGTACCACCATCCCCCGTTCCACAGCACCACAGCCCCCACCACCACCATCCCCCGTCCCACAGCACCACAGCCCCCACCTGCCCCGACTTCAGACCCTGTAATAGCTGATATATACAACCGACTTTCCAAACTTGAACTGCTACCCAAAATTATGACAGATTGAATTCCATTGACAATAGATTTGCACAGGTTGACCAAACTATAAACGATATCAGGAGTGAATTAAAGGAACACGGGGAGAAGTTAACTGTAATTGACTTTCACCAAACACTTGTTGAGGGGAGGGTCAGTAACAGAGAACAATTTCGCGATGATCAAATGTGGGAGTGTAAGGAGATGAAAGAACAAATACTTGCTCTCCAGAGTAGATCTATGAAGGATAATTTGTTATTCGGGGGTATACCGGAGCAGCCAAGGGAGGAAAACACGGAGGGGGTGGTAAAAGACTTTATCCAGACGGGAAACCCAGAACGATTGTAGCCAAATTCGAATGTAGAAAGGACCGCGAGATGGTTTTAAAGTCGGCGCCAGTTAAACTAAGGGGCAAAAATGAGTTGACCGTTAATGAACAGTTTCCCGCCGAGATTAACGAGAGGCGCAGAGAGCTCATCCCGATCACGAAGGAAGCGAAACGTCATGCTAAAAGGGTACGCTGAGACAGACAGACAGACAACGTTTTCCATCTCATCATCAGGACCAAACGCGCCATGTCGTTCCGTCCGTCGTTAGGGACGCGACACAAGTGGTCCTGGTGTAAGTCACCATGGTAACCATGGTGGTGTGTGCAATCATACATTGAGTAGAACCCGTTGCACGAAGTCATACAATATAGTCATGCAGTGGTGTGAAATACACAACATACAATATAATCATGCAATTATGTCAGTTGTAGTAATACATATCACAAGACTAATTCATACAATACAAACAATATTATGAATGGTAGTAAGTTGCATTAATAATGCAGCCCAATTGTGCAATGGTATAACAGGAAAGACGTAGTAAATGCTTGCCTACTAATATGAATACAAACATATATGTATTTCATGTATTAATCTTGCTGAAGTCTGAGGTACACACACTGTAAATTGGTGATCACATACATATTACTCAGTATACAACATTCAAATATCTAAGGATAAATTACATAATACCACTGTGTTGAGGATTTTAGTAATAATAACAATGGATTTTATTCTAAAGTCCTCCAGTTCATATGGAGATAAATCATAGTTGAAAATACCACCAAGAAAAACAGGAAGTAGATGGTAATTAGAATTTACATTAAGATAAAACACGAAATATATATCTTTCACAGTACTGAGTACACACCAGAGCTGGTCACGTAATAGCTGTGTGTGAGCATTCGAGTACACTATGCATAATAGTATCTTTGTGCATAGATCCACAGTAATGACACAAATATGTATTTTCATTATCGCGCATTTCAACACAAAGTTTAACAACTTTCTGAAAACATGGACTGTATTGTGGAAAGCGTAAAGCAAGTTTCCATATAGCATACGGTTGTATCTTATTATGTAAAAGAGTGAAGCGAGAGAAGTCCCTATCAGCGTTCATTCTTTCACATAAATTAAACTGTTCCTAGTTTTTTACATGGTCATTGACTAAACGCTTCCATTGACTTTTTGTTTGGAAATACACCACTCTTCAAAAATTCATCTATAACATGATACAAATTGTATTTTTGTAAAATATTAGCAATGTCGGGAACAAAACCTCTACTTAATTGAGACAGGTTGAATTCGAATAGACGCGTGATTGGAATTTCGCTGGTTAAACAGCCAACTTCCATGGCAATCTAATTAAAATTATATCTTCACATCGCTCCCGTTTACTGATATGTCGCGTTGAAGATCTAACAACATCCCGTAGAGGGTCATGTTCAGGCGACCTTTGCATTAACCAATCAGATGAGAGCTTACGCATTTCTGTAATTGATGATGTAATGATTTCGGAACACACTTGCTATGATAAAAGACCGAGAGGTGTCAAATGAGCATCGAAAATGGCGGCGCCCATGACACCACGCCGTGTCTATCTACAAGACAACGTTTGTACAATTTGTGGATTTTGCTTTGAAATAAGAGAGACTTCCTCTTCTGGTGATGTTGTCGTTAAAAAGTTTAACAACCTGAAACTAAAATTAACCAATGACAGGCTTCGCAATATTCAAACTATCACTGGACCAGACGAAAAAGTGGATTTTGGGCTACGAGGTGTCTGCATTAAATGCTACAGGTCCTGCTTTCTGATTGGTTGAATAAAAGAGTTATGTCGCGTTTTGATTGGCTTGTTATAAATGCGATAATGTATTCATGTTGACCTCTGACGTGACCCTCTATGGGATGTTGTTAGATCTTCAACGCGACATATCAGTAAACGGGAGCGATGTGAAGATATAATTTTAATTAGATTGCTTCCATGGAACATATTCTACAAAAAAATAACATTTTCTTAACGCAGATGTATACTTCTACAGAAAACCAACCAATCAAGGACGTGCACATATCTGTCCTTGTTCTTACATTATAGAACATCACGTGAAGACCGAATCTGTCCGCTTTGTTTTACTGGAGTCGGAAGCGAATATCATTATTTGTTGATATGCTCTATGCAATATTAGAATATTCTCAAATCTATCTCTGTTCATTCAATTTCTAGAAAGACATTTAAAAAATAATATTTGAATTTCACACATCAAACTGTAAAGTTTTGTAAACATATAGATATTACTGATCATTTTGTTAAACCTAACATAACTGTATTGTATAATGAGTGTGGTTACAGCGTGTTTATCATGGTTTGTTTTGTTATATCCCTGATTGAAGGTATTTGTATCTGTCTATTACAGTATTGTATGATGGGATTGTAACACTGGCTGTTATACCTTTGTAATATTATATGGTATGATAGTCACTATTTTGCCATGGTATGATTGCACTGTATGGTTTGGTTTACTATCTATAATACATGTATCATGTAGTACGAGTAATATATGTGTAATACTGTAATAACATTATTGGAGGATTGTACTGTAAGATGGATGCAACAGTGCATGCTATACCACTGTGTGAACTTACGGTATGGGTGAATGTAATGCTGTGTATTATACCATTAATTTGTAATATAGTATTGTAAAATGAGTGTAATACTGTATATCACTGTATGATGAGTGTCAATGTATGAGCAGTTCGTTATATTGTCTATTATATGGTGGAACTGTATAAACAGTCCCAAGTGGCATGTTGTGGCGAGCAGGCATATTTTTATAAGTTTCAAAATGTATAGGTTTGCGTGTGTAGTACATGTGTAGGAATTGTGGGGTACCGGTTTGCTATGGTTTTACCCTAGGAGTCGGGTAAACCCACATTATACTATAAACGGGTTTAACAGTAGTACTATAATGGTAATTAGGATATAGATATACACATGTACAGTATTTGGTTTCTCCTTGGTGGAGAATGTTAAGTAATACTTGCCAAGATTATACCCTGGAAGTATGGTGGAGTCTCGTTGATAAGGGTAGATCGACAAGGCTATTTATAGTCAGGTACATGCAAACTCTGCCAATCACCTTTGGGAGGCTGAATAGCTGATGTGTCCGGTACCAGTTTGGTAGATACTCAGTGGGGGTACTTACCGTTGCATGTACCTAAAATGTATAACTCTAGTCATTGGTGAGATTAGTTAAGGTAAAATTTTAACTCGCTTTGATTAACCCAGGGGGGAGGAAATTACCTGTCAGTGTAAAGGCCTGCTCGTCACATTTGTTGAGAATAAGTATCATTAAATAGGCTGCGGCCATTTAATCCAAAAAGGCGTGTTTATTGTTATTTCAAAAAACATCATAAAATAATACCATTGTATTTTAATTGATATTTTCAAAATTGAAGAAAAAACTGTAAAAAAATATAGTTTTACATTTTGCTTTCCATTTTTTCCCCAGAATCTATTTATAGCAGGTCAATAACACTTTTTCTACCAACTTTTTTACAAAAAATCCAGAATCTATTTATAGCAGGTTAATAACACTTTTTCTACCAACTTTTTTGAACACCTGTTCCATAACTTATTTATAGCAGGTCAATAACACTTGTTCTACCAACTTTTTTGAACACCTGCAAACCACTCAGGTTTATAACTACTTTTACAGGTGGTCACATGATGTTGTTTCAGCCAATCAGAGTCAGTTCAAAATCAATTAAAATAATAATGTCTATTATAACAAGGTATGATAGTACGTATGAACAGTGTAATATTGTGTTTATCATTGTATGGGGAGTGTTATAGTTTCCACTATATTATTGTACGCTTGCATAGTAAGATGAGTGCTTTACGGTCAACCATATCATTGTTTTATTGTACTTTATGACGACCTATTGTTGCACACAATAGTGTGCCTGAGTGATAATAAAAATATCTGAATCTCTATAACACAAAGAAATAGCATATTTCCCGATGAGATCGTGATGGGGACCATAACCTTCACCAACCTTCATCTTTGGAAACTCTGTGTTGCGAGTTAGTCCGCGAGCTATTGACATCAATCACGGAAGTCATGACATTCGGGGGGAACCCTTAAGAACCGAATCATCT